GTAAAAGAAAGAAGTAAAAACATGGTATAAAGCGTAGGTATGCCCTATGAACAATTTTTTTTTTTTTTTGCACTAGACTTTTATTGTAAGACGTGGCCACGATGTGCAAGCATAGTCTTTTGTCCAACAAGTTTTAAAAGCACCAAATTGCACTTAGCATAGAGCATAGGCACATTTTATCTCAAATCTGAGATTGGATTTTGATATCAAAATGAAAACTTCATAAAGTGTGAGGCCTAAAAAAAAAATCTTCTGCTAAAAAGAAATGAAATAAACTCAACTTTCACATAAAAACTTGGAATAAAAACACAAAAATGACTAAAAATTAAAACTCTTGGGTAGCCTCCCCAGTAGCACCTTTCTTTTACGTCTTTGGTTAGATAATACCATGTGCTCACATTTCTTTGCAACTCTTGACATTTCTTGCAAATCTAAACTGTGATTGATTACAACTTTCAATGCGTCTCTACCATTTAATTCAAACTTTTGCTGCATGAAAGGGTCAATTACATCTAAAACAAAAGCAGAATATGCCTCACTAGGACATTTTATGGCACCATAGATATTGAATTTTATTATTTTGCCATCAAATTCCATTGTTAAGGTTCCGGAATAAGCATCAATTTTTATTTTAGATGTCATTAAAAATGGTCTACCTAACAAAATTGGAGGTGAAACAGAAAAATTATCATCCCTATCTAAAATATAAAAATCTGCAGGAAAAATCAATTTATCAACTTGAACTAAAATATCTTTCAACACCCCCTCAGGATATGCATTAGATCTATCAGCAAGTTGTATAATGACACTTGTTTCTTTTAAGGGCCCAAGATTTGGAGAATTATAAATAGAATTGAGCATGATATTTATTGCAGCTCCTAAATGTAACAATGCTTTTTCAACCTTAACATTTCCTATTTTACAAGGAACAGTTACATACCCAGATCCTTACATTTAGGAGGTAATTTCTGCTATAGCATCATTGAAACATTTTCTCCTATATAAATCTTTTTATAACCCTTTAACTTTTTCTTAGTGGTGCACAATTCTCTAAGAAATTTTGCATATCGAGAAATTTGTTTAATGGCTTAAGAAGGAAAATATTTACCTCAACCATGCGAAATGTTTCCAAAATCTCTTGTTCCTTTTCCTCCTCCATGGATTTTTCATCTTGACTAGGAAATAGAGGAGAAGGTGTCACCACTACTAGGGGTTCATCTCTGGGCTCTTTCCTTGGAAGGGCTTAGGTTGGGGATTGCATTGTTTCTTTCTCAACTTTCTCTTCAATATCATGCTTAGATACCTCTTTTTGATGCTCTTGCAATTCTTTGCCACTTCTCAAAGTAATTGCACTCACATTTTGCTCAGGGTTGATAATGGTTAGCGAAGGCAATTTCCCTAAAACTTGAGACTCCAATCGACTCATTGCAGATGTCAGCTAACTCATTTGATTCTCTCGGTTTTGAATGGTCATTCTTGTCCCCTATTGAAATTATTGTGTGTTAGCTGCTAATGATTTAACAATTTCTTTAAGAGGCATACCTAGTGTAGAAGCTAGTTGTTGTTGTAAAATTGGTGGCCTTGCTGTATAACTAGAGCTCATGTTATCTCTCCAACCTTGAGTGTACGTGTTTGAATAAGGATTATGCCCCATTGGGGGAGGGTTTGGAAAGCCTCCAACAGCATTCACATGAGCATTCAGATCATCTTGGAGTGTGGGGTATATGTCAGTTGGATGACCCGAGGTATAACAAATTTCACGTGTTTTAATCTGTTGCACTTGTCCTACAACTAGTTTTTCTACAAGTGTAGTTAGAGAGTCTAATTTTTGTTCAATTGAATGAGCACTAACCTCATTAACTTTACGGGGAATGTATTCTCGTCTGTCACCAAATTGTTGCGTATTGGCAGCCATATTTGAAATCAATCTCCTTGCTTCTATTAGTATTTTATTCACTAATGCTCCTCCACTAGCAGTATGAATTATCTTCCTATCCGTTAATGATAGTCCCTCACAAAAGTACTAGATAAGAAGCTGTTTCGAAATTTGGTAATGAGGGCAGCTTGCACATAATTTTTTGAATCTTTCCCAATACTCATGCAATGTCTCTCATTGAAATGTTTGATCTCATAGATATCTTTTATAATACTTGCAACTCAGGAGGCAGGAAAAATTTTCTCAAGAAACTGTTGCTTCATCTTGGTCCACGTGATAATTAATCAAAAGTGCAAATAACAGAGCCAATCCTTAGGTTTATCAGCTAAGGAAAATGAAAAGGCTCTCAATTTTATTTGCTCCTTAATGACTCCTTGGGGCTTTATGGTTGAGCATACCACATGAAATTCCTTCAGGTTCTTGTGAGGATCTTCACCTGTAAGCCCGCGAAAAGAAGGAGACCAGTGAATTAAATCAGATTTTAAATCAAATGGTACATCTAAAGTAGGATATGTTATGCAAAGAGGTTGCTAATTTAAATTGGTGTAGCTGGATCTCTCGAGGTTCCCTCGTTTGCCATGATTTCAATCTCCTTTTCGATTCAGTGTAGATTCAACCAAAGTCAGATGCTAATTTTATCTCTGAGGATGAAGATAATGAGTTTGCTCATTGCTTAGTTTCCTTTTTCAATCTACGCATTGTCTTCTATATTTTAGGATCATATTGTAATTTACCTGTACGAGAAGATTGAGGCATAAACTAGAACATAATAAAAAATTAAAAATCCAAAGAAAATAAATCAATAAAGGCACCAATCCCAAACGACAACGCCAAAAAATGTTGGGTGTCAAACCAGCAGAAATAAAAATTTCTACTCTAATAATAAGAATTCAAATGTAACGACAAGTAGGGTAGTATACACAGGAATTGGATGATTTATTTTTCTTATAAAAATGACTAAATAATATGGAGGATTGTGGAGTATTTATCTAAATAGCTCACTTAAATAAAATAATAATGCATAAATTAAATAAAAATAAATCAACAATGGACAACTCTTTAGTCAAAAGTCTACTCTCCACTATGATTCATTTGACTGATCATTAATGCAAAGGTAAAATTCATTTATTTATAAATAAATTGGTTATGCTTAGCAACAACCTCTGACAACATGCCTCTCCTTACTATTTTGATAACCACAAAAAACTTTGTGATTATTTCTTTTACCAATTAAGCAATCCTAAACAAGCTCTTAGAATTTAGCTTATTGACAGTATTAATAATTAAAAAAATTACCAATTCTAACCACCAAACACATAAGTTCGATTCATATTATATATTCTCGTGACATAAATTTGAAAGTTCTTGCTACAATCAAATTATATCACTCACCATCAACACTACAACCGTCAAACAATATCGGATTTGACAAATAATTTTGTCAAACTAAATAAGGGCCCCTTTACTTAATTCAAGAAAAATAATCATCTCAATAATAAATAAAGAGTGTATAAATATTTATAAATAAATAAAACAAATAAAGCATATTAAATATCTTAATATTGTTGAATCAAAGTTTCGATTATCCTTCGTCTAGAACAAGAAGCTAGCCGCTCCTCATGGTGGGTTCGCAACCCAAGAAAAACTAGGGTTTTTTATTAGAGAAAAGAAATAAAAGAAAAAATTGACTACTTTTGAATGAAGGAAAAGCTGAAGCTCGAGAATCATTTGTCTTGATTCTCCTTTCTCCCATCCAAGGCTAATTCCTATCTATTAGTACTTAAAAAGTTTCCTATAACTAAAAGGGCTAAGAATCCCATTTTTAATTATAACACTGATAAATACTAAAACTAATAAATAAATCAAAGATGATGTTCCTAAAATAACTAATCAATACCCAACTCCACAAACCAAATCAAATTCCTTCTTAATCGATCAGCAAAAATATTAGACAGGGTCCACTTCAACTCTAGAAATGTCCAGACTTCTCAGTAACTTAAGACGTGGCTACGCCTTATAGAATAAAGTCTTCTAAATATTCAACATTTAATGCACTGTTTCTCTCAAAAGTCCTATAAACATTGTCAAACATGAAACATGAGTAGAATCTAGAGGTAGCAAAATGGGCGGGATGGACAGGATTTGCTTGGGTTTAAAATGGAATCGAGTCATATGATTTTGGGCCTAACCTTACCCATATATGTATTGGGACTAACTTGGGCGGGATCACTTTGGGATGGATTTAGATTGATCCCGCCTAATACCCAAATCTATTTTCTACATATTTTTTTCCTTTTATTTATTTTTATTTTTTATATAATTTTAATATTTTTGATTTATTAAATTTCTTTTAGTTTTATTAAATAAACATGCAAGTGCTTTATACTCAGGATTATCACCAAAAATTGGATTAACAAATAAAAAAAAGATAGATATACAATCATGACTATAAAAATTGTTAAAAATAATTTTTGAATCTAAGACTCCATTTGGATTGGCTATTTTTTCAAAAATAAAGTTTTTCAAATACAATGTTACAGTAATATACAATAACTCAAAAAACATCCCATCCATATTAGTATATCAAATATTTTTAAAAAAATTATAGTAAAAATTTTTCATATACATTACTACAATAAAATATTTCAAAAACACCCTCCAAAAATAGTTAATCCAACATATCAAATTAATGGGTACAATTGGGATTTGTCCCATTTTAAACCCAATATCAAATTTCAATACCTATCCCGCCCAAAGTCTCAGTGGGCATAGGTAACCCATTGGAACTTGGGACAAATTGCCACCTCTAGTAGAATCCAACATATAACACCATATTTTACCATAATTAGGAGGGAATATACAAAAATAAAATGCACAATTAACTCTTTAACACAGCGATCATTACATTGAGAAATATTTGAAGATTAATACGCGTACTGGAATATTTGCATCTACATTAGCCTAGTTTATGTCAGATATATGCCTGAGGTTTGCATCTTAAATTCTTCCTTTAAGTTGTAAAAGTAACTACTTTAGGCACAATTATACTGGTCGGTTGCAGCATATACAATAACTAAGAGAAGATTAGAAGTGTCAAACCACCAGGTTTATCTATTCTAAAGATAGTATTGACCAAGTGTTTTCACAAACTTCAACTAAGCTTTTACTACTGTTTCTTGAGAAAAAAAAACACACACACACACACACACACACACACACTGTTCTTACAAGGTTTCCAAAGAAACAACGAACACAGGAATCAGAAGCGAACACCACCACCTAAAAAGGTCATGGCTGAGGGACTCGAGTAGGAATATCTAGAAGTTCACCTTCATCGGCAGTTTCGAGTTCTCAAGCTCAAGTTAGATAGATGTTGCACTGAGTTTCCCTAGCCTGGTCTTTCTCAGTTGCTTCTAGTGACGCCAGATGATCAATTTGAATACCAGATTCACAAATTCTCTTTGCAATAAGGCCTGCTTTGAGCCGGGAACCAGGATCATACATGGGGAATTCAATCAGATTCAAGTGTGGGAGGTGCTTTGCCTTTACCTCTTCCAAAGCTTCAGTCCAACCAGCTCTTTTTATAGGTTCCAACAACCTTGTGACATCATCAGCAGACATTTTTGACTTGTTAGAAGAGATTATTTTCTCCTGGGCAGGTTCAACCTGTGCACCTCCGGACTGCTTGGCATGGTGCTCAAACATCAAATCAAGCTTTTGCTCCATGCTTGAAATTTTGGAGGGGGTTACAAAAGCATCATGCTCCATCTTATTTTTGAGCGCCTTCAATTCATCCTCCAGTAAAGCACCCCTTGTGGACGTCCTTACAAGGTCGCAACGTAAGGAGTCAAGCTCCCTTCTCAAGAAGCTTTCATTATTTGATTGCTGTGTCATAGTTGGATGATGATCGACGACAGGAGTCATAACCTTGCCATCCAATGGAAAAGCAGGAACAAAACAAATGGAGCGAGTCTGCTCTAAACAGGGCTCTACAGTATTCATGGCTGTGCTTTTCGCACTCACCTTTTGTCCTTGTGTTGGTTTATTCTGCTCAATTTCTGGAAACAGTTGCTCAGGGTCCTTATTGGTCTCTGTGTCTGCGGTTTGAGGACATGAAGGCATAGCATTATTCACCACAGGATTGGTCTCTGTCTTTGTGGTTTGAGGACACGAAGGTGTAGCATCATTCACCACGGGATCTTTCACCAGCTTCCTTACATGCTCTTCAGTTGGAGTAGAGGCACCTGGTGATCTCTTGAAGAGGGACACTACTACAAAATAAGAACAAAATAATATTTAAATCAGCTCAGTTGAAAATACAAAAGATGAGGGAAATGGTCAAAGTGAATAATTCACTAGGATTTGTCCCACCTACAGCATCAAGTCCTCCCAATAAATTCAAATAAAACTACATAAGGTAGAAAGAAGTCTACAGGAGTGATTTTGTCTGACAAACTTAACGCCTAATGTTTTCAAAATGTCATATCAGCAATTCGTTTTAGTGGTCTAATATACCAAAATCAGGGATGCACGACTCTTTGTACCAATATTTATTTCAGTTCTTTGTTCTATTTATTTATATAGCTTAACACAAATGATTACAAGCTTGAAGATTATGACAATAGAAAGCAATTAAATACACTTTGAAAACATACACAAACTAAATCGCCACATGATGTTTATTATTTTATACCCAGCAAAATGACAAAGATACAGCTTAACAGCATAAGTTGAATAAAAATGCGACTTCATCATCCTAAACCTACATTACTGCCATGAAATGCCATGTGTCAATATTGAAGCTTAGATATTAATAATTAAGTCGCTTCAAACCTCTATGCTCACAATCAACCATTTGAAGTATAACTTCTCCGTAAAGGATAGAAAAAAGAGGACATTGATACTTAACTGCTGAAGTGGCATTAGAGTAGGTTTTTGCGACAGGAATGCTCATCATGTTATTTAATTATGCATGTATTTGTTTGTGATACGAGACAATGAGTTAAAGTCCCTCATCAGGTTATTTAATTATGAATGTTAAATGTAATGGAAATAAGCAGGTCTAGATACCTTTATCTTGACATTCCACTATTCTAAGGCCACATGAAACTTTCTATTTTAAGCAGTTTTGACTAAAGAAATGCACCAAGATAATCAAGGATTCTCGTAGTCCTATTTAATTACATGATTTGAATAGCAAGACAAACTGAAAGTTTACAGAATTTCATTTGCAGGCTCTATATCTCATCATCCTATTTAATTACATGATTCGAGTAGCAAGACAAACTGGAAGTTTTACAGAATTTCATTTGCAAGTTCTATACTTGTCAAATCCTGGTTCGACTTAACAGTCAATTTAACTCAAAGAAACTACCATGTTATTCCCTACTACATAACCAAAATAGGAACAAAAGTGAATGAAAATAATGGGAGGAGGGCGAGAGAGAGAGAGAGAGAGAAATTGCTAAAAATGAGACACAATTCTAATGTATAATATACCTGAAGCAGTTTCACTGCCCTTGCACTCCTGGTCGAGGATTACCATAGCAGGGCCTTCATTTTGCATTTTATCATCCATGAGATCCTTCAATCTTGGACTAGGATCTAATGTAACTGCAGACACTTTTTGGAGAAAATTTCTAAAATGAATAATTTCCTTTAACTTAAAAAAGCCAGGACAAAGATCAACTTTGATAATCTGCAAAAGACTTTAGCAGTACTAAGTGCATGGCCTAGTGCTCCACATTCATATACCAATATCAGAATATTCAAAAAGTAATGGCTGCCATTCTTCATTAAGAAAACAAACATGTTTGTGTACTAGGCTTGTTCACTGTCCAGATACTATCAGTTCCCTTAAATCCCATTATGTTAATTATCCAAGTTATAATAGCTGCTGAGGTTTTCCTCCAGTTATCCCCCTGTACATTCACTTTGCAATCTTGAGAAAGGGAAACAATAAGCATGTTATTTTAGAGTGTCCATCATATACCTGAGATAGTTTTACCACCTGCCTCCACATTATTGATAGGTACTGAACTTATCAAGCTTTCACTGAATTTATCACAGTTACTAGTGCACTGTGACCCTGTTCACCATTTCAAAAGTAGTTTGAGGACAAAAGCTGCAGCAATGGGTTTTGCTAAAGAAAAAAATATTTGCAGATTATTGCAAATCTATTGTGCCAAATTCATGAAGCAATTTTGTGGCATTGCAAATAGTACCTTCAATTGGGATTGATATGGGTGAGCCTGCGCTTCCCTGTCTGTCATCTGCAGTTCCACAAGGCATAACATTGATATCTACTACTTCTGAACTGACCACTGGAACATTATTTAGTAACCACAACCGCTTTGATCGTGCTTCTAGCTGTGTCCTTCTATTTCTAAGTTCGAACAATGTAACCACATATAGGTTAAGGTCAATGATCATCATTTAATGTCTCAATTATAAGCAAATCTAAAGCTATGTTTGTCAACTTTTAACCACTTTTGAAACTCACAAGCAGCATGAATCCGGAAAAGAAACAAATCGTGCAGAAGCAAAAATGCAAAAATTGCACTCCCTCTTGCATAAAAGACTTCTGGAAAATAGCAGTGACTGAAATCTTATCAGGAGCTAATTCTTACAGATAGGTACTCCTAGAGATAAGAGTTCATAAAGATGAGAGACTAAGAAAAAAAAAGGAATAGCAAATGCAAGTTGGATTATGCAGGCTGGTCATCTAGATTGGTAAACAGCTTAGCTGGAAAAAGGGCAACTTCTGAGATTGATGAGTCTCATGGGCTGGAGACAGGGAAAAACAGAGATCTACAAGCTACTTTAGACAAGATAAACATGCTTGCGACAACTCCAAGAGCACCTAGCTAATTTGATTGCTCCTTCCTATATAACAACTGATCAAAGGATATTCTCGTCTCCAACCCTTTTCATTAGCTCTGTCAATTTTTACTTGCAGGACTCTCAGCTCTGTAGCAATTATCTGACACATGTAAGAAATTATGAGTAACAATCTCCAGAATGAAAAAAAAGTGCAAATAAGAAGGGAAATTATGAATTTGGTTCAATTGTAATTAAGACAAATAACTATCAAGTAACAGAATAATCAGCACCCACCAAAACAAAAATATATCGATCACAGTTACATGCATAAGATTCCACTAGATTCAAGCAAACACAGAAACTTGAGAGAGATTCAAGAAATTGGTGCAGTTCCTCAACTGAGACGTATGACAAATTAAGAATAATGTGAGCTTCTACTTGTTAGCACTCCAAGGAGAGTATTAGTAGCTTTGAGTCTTTCTATCAACTGTAAGATTCTATGCGACATTTCTCCCAGCTGCCTTCACCAGACCATCCCCCCACCCCGCACCCCCCCAACCCCCCAAAAAAAAATCAAACAGAGCACCTAAACTTCAAAGAAGAAAGAAATAATAAGAAAAGAAATCTCTTTCTTCCTCGCACATATAATCATGCACCAAAGTAATGTGGAAATTATATACTTTTACTATTATATTGACACAATTGAATGGTAAAGAAACTGCTCATCTTGAAGCAGTTCAGCCTTTAAAAAATTATCAAAGAAAGCGTGCAAATCATAAAGGAAACTGTGTTAACAGAAAGTGAGATCATATTCACAATATTAGCATTTCATAAGGATTTTCTGATGATACATAAAATAAGTCTAACTACCATCACAGAGACCCAAAACATAACAGAATGTCGAAAGAGAATATGTAAGGTCATACATCATCCACAATTTCCTCATGCAGAACTCTGGCCTTTTGTTCAAGCTCCTCCTGTAGATGAAAGACTGCTGTCAAGTGCTTGTAAGGAACTATAAACTGGAAATGTAAGTCCATATAGTTGCAGAGATATAGAGAAGAAAAAGCTATAACCACCAATGCTGTGTTAATTTATAAACCTATGGATCTAAACCTCATGAACCTGCACTGCGATTGTCTAATTATCTCCACCAGATGCAAGGGCAGGGAAAATTGCCTTAAAGAGTAAGAAAAGCTCAGCAAAAGCAAGAAATATGTGCATTTTGTAATTCATCTAGCAGTTAATTACAAGTGGAACAATTCCTATTTTCTATGTATTCAAAATATTTGCTCAAAAGATGTACAGAAATTTAGCATGTATCATTAGGTAAATTAGGGACTTTCAACCCCATTCCCGTGCTGACCTAGCTCCAAGAAATCAACCTTTGTTGCACATGTGTCTTTGGCTTTATTAGCCTTAGGGACAAAAAATGGAGGACCAAAGCATACACCTAAAAAATTTGAGAGGCAACATGAAATCCTGGATTATGGAATGGCCAAAGGTATAAAATCTAGGAAGCTTGAGAGCTATTTAGGTTTTTTGCCCAACTTATTCTCAATTATATCATCTACTCTCAACCATCAACTGTTAAAGAACCTTGGCATCAAAGTCAAAACCAAATGACGTGTGGAGTGCCCCAAGATCATCAACAACTTTCACAGGAATCCTTTAAACCAAATGGTGCGGTCATACGCAACCATTTAAGATATCCAGACCATAATTCTTATATTAGAATCATGGTCACACGTTAGGCTTGTTTGAGTTTCACACTGAAATTCAACCACAGGTAATTGTGCCATTGATGATGACCACTTGGTACCATGGAAGAGAAAGCAGCAGCTGCAGTTGCCAGTACAGTGCAGATCTAAATATATTGTCATTTCTCAAACTACTTGTTAACAACTATAACTGAAGAATAGTTATTGAGCCCGAATTTGAGTGTAAAAGTTTGAAATGTAATAAAAAAGCATCTATCCATCTTGCATCTAATCCAGTTCCAGTATGGAACACAGCATATTCAAGTTGATTAACATTTCTTTCAGAGAAGTTGCTGGAGAAAGTGATTAGGACATTCAATGTGCAACCTATGGATAATTTACTGCTTTTGTAACATGTTAGCAGCATAGGGTACGTGTTCTTTAACTTGAGGATAAAGTGTTAACAGAAGGCAGTAGAATTTCCATAACTTTTATTTAGGTACACTACAATTACAAATATGACTAGGTAACTCATATTGGGTAGCATAGGTTTTCCTCCTAAATACTTTGAAATCAGCCATTGAAGAACTTACTAAATTTTCCAATTTTTTTCTCTTATAATTTCCTTTCCCAAAGCTCTCTTCAGCTCAAGCAGAAGTATAAGAATAATGGATAATCGTTTTGATCTATTCAAAGCCCTTTTTCTCAAAGAAAGATAATTTAATCTTATAACAATGAATATGTTAGCATAATTCATCTTTGAGATATCATACTACTGCTCCAACATCTGAAGAAATAACTAAGAAACAAAGAGAAGCTATTGGTGAGCACCAACAAATAGTAAATTTCCTCAGACTAGAAACCAACTTAAGCACAACTGGAAGGTTACAAACAGATAGATGCTGGGTCCATAACCAATTTTCCTAATTCAGGTACAAGCTTAAAGTCATCATGGATCCTACAAGGTTGACAAACAATGGGATGAGAACCTAATAATTAGCCTGTATTGCCAGCTGCAATGACAACTATATCATAACTAGAAAATTGTATCAAATATTAACTATCTTATTAATGAGAATCTCCTCAACCGACAGGCAACAGTACTGATGGCAAAATCTTTTATCTTTTATTTGCCCATTAGTGAATAGACACTTGCATATCCAGTGGAAATATACTTCACATTCTCTTTTATTTCCCCATTAGTGAATAGACACTTGCATATCCAATGGAAATATACTTCACATTCTTAAAACCTGGTAGAAATTGTCTAGCCAGGTAATCTTGCGAAATTCCATTCACAATTACTACAGCAACAAAAAATACCATCATTTGAAGGAGTACTCACCACAGTGGGCATTCTAAGCAGACCATTTTGCACCTGCTGTCTGAGATCTTCACAGTCCTTCTGAAATAAGTAACGGTAAATTCAGGTTAAAAAAAATTCAGGAGGCAAATATAAAAACACGTCAAACTTGTTAATAAACAAGAATGAAATTATTTTTTTGCTAAAACTATTCAGGCAGTCAATGATTGGCAGGAAGAAGTAACACGATATCCTTTCATGGAGAGGAAAACTTGCATGATGCGTCAGATTCAGAAAGAAAAGCCTATCTCATGCATTTGAACTCATCATCTGAGTTTTTAGTTCCATACTATACAATTATAATCTGTTATAATTAGATAACTGGCACTCTAAATTTACTTTTTAAGCACTACCAAATTTGATATCACATATGCAAGGTATTCAATACAGAACTTGACAGTGTAATACAGTCTGCTTTCCAGAAATACACTAATAAATGGCAAGGAAGAAAAATAATAGCTCTCACTTGGCCAAAGGCCTCTAGCCCTAAAGTAGATATCAAGCAGATTACTGTAAAGCCAAGACATCAAGCCTAAAGCCCAAGATCCAAAACAGAATCATTGTATGTTTATTTCTTCCATCTGTTGCTTATTAGCATTTACCTAAACCTATAGAAGTCACATAAACTTCCTAAATAAATAGTCACCCAGTAGCCAACCGTGACTGATATACGTTCCAAGATCTACACTTCGGGTCAAGGTACATGTTCAACAGAACATCTCGTGAAATCCAAGAAAATCTTCAACAATCACACTAGAAGTGCAACCACGACAGTCATTATGCTACTTCTATTTGTCAGTTGCAGCAATACAGCAATACTGGTACTCAATTCCCAACCAATTGTTATCATAGGAATAAATGCACATAAGTATAGCTGCAATTAGTTCTAAAAGAAACTTGATAGTTTGTTATATAGGCAATTGGATGTGTTTTGGGCCTCATTTACTCTATGACTTCATTTCATAAATCATGCCTCCTTTAGTGGATTCAATGAAAAGGAGAATTTCTGAGTTCAACATGAACAAAAACAGGATTCTAATGCAACAATACAAAAGAAGGAAAGGACAAAAGAGAGCAATTCAAGGTACTACTGATATCTAATGTTACCTCAGATAGATTATGTTACCTCCGACAGATCAGCATTTGATAACATGTGAATTGAAATTTCATTTGGAATATTTGACGCTAGAAGCTTAATATCCACCTCATCATGATCACCTGAAGTCTTCCTTGTGCCTGACAGCACAAAACTACGCTATTACATGCAACATTTGGGAGTATATAACCGCAGCATATCCAAAACGAATCATTGATTCATCAAGATTTATAGTCGAAACACATAAACACAAAGTAGCTAAGATCAATACAAATGGCAGATGGCTTCACCTGTCTCCTTAATCAAAACAATTCCAACAATTTAAAAGTTTGGGTGGCTAACTGCATTAGTTGGATAATTTACATCAAAATGTTCCCATGTTAGTCAGCTAACAAGGTGAAGAAAATTTCCTTGAAAGTTATTAGGAAGCCATTAATTCCAAAGCAATACCCTCCTTTATAGCACCATACTAACAGGAGACCTATTACAATTCACGAAAGCTTGAGAGAGAGAGAGAAGGATTTAGAAGAGTTCATTAGGAAAAGGACCATAACCACTTCTTGCATGAATCCTAGATGCTATTAAGAAATTGGCAAGTTGAAGAAGAGGGAGGGGAAACTGAAATGAAGCCACATTACCAGGAGAGAGAGGTGTAAAGTACAATTCTACAGTTGGATCCTAAATTTACTCACTAAGAACATTAGCAATAACATCATTAGTGAAGGTCAGCATAACTTTGAAAACCAGATAAGCACTATTGTGAGAAACTTCATGAGAGATTATTCACATTCCATCAATACAGCATGCAGTTTAGGAAATCAGGGAAACAAATAACGACATTGTTAACTTTAAAATAAATAAAAATGAGATCTAGAGAACAAGATTAACCCCTCAGGATTACTGGACAAAAAAATAAAGACATAGTTTTCTTTAAAATAAAGAAAAATGAATCTTGTAAAGAAGATTAACCTGTCACTTGCACAAGCTGACGAGTTTTCCTCTGACGTCCATCAGGTGAAGGTAATTCAACAAGAACAAAAGTACCTTTTACCTTGTTCTCAAAAGATTCAGGCTGCTCCAGGAGCTTCCCAACTAATCTCCTTCTCAGGTATGCAAGTCTAATATTATCAAGAACGACTGCTGCAAACAAGGTTGGAGTTTTACTACTTACCACCTCCTCACTTGGAGAAGTTGTGTTAAAACACAGCTTTGTCCTTGGTAGAACCCTAGATCTCTTATTCTTGTTGGCATCATCTAAACTCTCACAAGATTTGCGCTTCTCTCGATTCTTCAATTGCCTTCGGGCAGATTGGATATCACCCAAAGTAAGGCTGTATTGCTTCTTTATGATCTCATAATATTCCTTGAGATATCTTTCTCGTGTGGAAAGATCCCCAAGACTCATTCTTTTGTGCTAGTTAACAAACAAAATTTATGTTAGAAGCATTAATTCATATAAGTTAGAAGCATCATAAGGAAAACATTAAAGACAAGAATTGCAACACAAGGAAACTGGTAAAGCCTTACATCATAGCAAGAGGTTGTATATAAACTATAGGTTGATGGTCTAAAACCACAACCATAAAAATTTAACATCCTAAGATTTGCATGTTGCAAATAACATGAGAGCTGACAGCAACTAGTTTGTGAACGGCAATGGACCATATATCTTTACGTGCATCTTAAGCAACAAGAACATTGTAGGTTTCCTCAGATAAATGTAGGTAAATTTCTCAGCACACAAAATAGAAAATCCTTATCTTCAGTTTCACACTGGTAGAAGTTTACACAGACAAAAGCTAGCAATTTTTCTATTTTAATTGTCCCAAATTTTCTAGAATTGTAAACTATAAAATTTCATGTGCAGCAACAGCAAGGCTGGATGCAATCACCACTTCTAGCTTAAAACAACTTGTGATAACATTGAATAGTTAAAATTAGCTTTAGGGGTTGCTGATCCTTAGAGTGTGCCAATCATTTTACCCATACGCATGAGTTCTATCATGTCTACCATAACATTTTCGTATGTGTGATAGGTAACAATGTGAGACATCTATTGAAAAAATGTGAACATCTTAGTTGACGAAACATTGTTAAATTAACATATCAAATTAACAATTTATTAGTGCTGGATCTTAAAAAAAAAAGAAAAGAAAAGAAAAGAAAACTTTATGTATTGCATAATCTTGTGGCTACGTGAATTCTATTAATCTAAATTAAACAAGTACTCTAATGAAACTGCTATCATGTTGTAATTAATCTCTACTTTGACATACACTACCATTTAATTAAATGCAATTTTCATATTCCATACCAAGCTGGAGTCTGAATCTACAATTCCTTCAGAAAGCAGCACAAAATTCATACAGTCCTTGCAAAATCCATTTTCTTGTTTAATTGGAAAAAACTCTGCAGAGTCAATGCATTGATGACATATTGCTTTGGGACAGCAGTAACACATAATTCTTGGCTTTCCACCACAATTGGAGCAAAAGTGTCGAGCTGAAATGATAAAAAACATTATGACACAAATGCCGGCATATCAAATGAGCTAATCTTGAACTGATCTGTGAAAAATCAAACCAAAAATCAAAAAAGAGAGCTCTCTCGACAATTCCTGCAAACCAAATTAGGAGACAGACAAAATGCTGAGAACTGTGTACAGAATCTTGAACTAAACAGTGAAAAGCAAACCACAAAAAAAAAAAAAAAAAAAAAAAGAAAAAAAAGAGGAGCACTCTTGAGAGTTCCTAAAAAGCAAAATAGTGGACAGACAAAATGCTGACAACCGTATACAGAAAGTTACCAAATTAAATCTGCATATTAGTTTACTGTCCATATAAGGAATCAGCGGAAAATAAAACCACCCCCAGGGCATTTTATAGTTTGCCACTATGACCCTAACTCATTGGCAAGTTAAAATCGATAGTCTTTGCAAACTCTAAATGTAGTCCTAATCCATCGCTTTCTTATCTATCTCTACAACAAAACTTTACGAAACTGTATTTTGATCAAATTTGTTCCCCAGGTAAAAAACTAAAAGGAGACTGAAATTAATCCCTGCATTTCAGCAGTATTACCATTGATGACTGTACTCATCAAATGAAGAATCTTCTGCTTTCATTCTTTTGTTTTCTTTTTCCTCAGTTACTTGTGGTAGGACAGAAAATGCTTGGGGAAATGATGTTAACAGTTCTTCAGAAGTAAAAACAACTTCACTCTACTCTTTAAAGAAAAAGAAAAAGAAAACTCTACCAGTGAATTAAAACAATTTCGTACATCAAACATTTGTGCAGGACAAATAATGGGACAGTCTCAGATCTATACAAAATAAACCTTGCTGGAACCTAATTGGCAAACTTGGAAATTGGAAAAAAGTAAAGGACGATATGACCTCCCTTTGTCAGAGTGAATGTCTTAGGTTAAACAGGACTGTGATCGTTTGGTTATCCCTGATACACAAACCAACTGCTAGACTTGTACGTCTTGCTAGAATATTCCACATCCTTTGTAGACCTACCTAGAATATCCCACATCCTATAGCTAGAATTATAAAACATTAAACATAGACAAATCTGTCAAGTAAGAATTTCAATTTACAAAAGAAAGAAAGGAAAGTAAGCATAAGCTACCGCTTAGCAAGTTATTTGGTCGATAGTCACCAAAATCCTTTCCCCATATTGCTGTGTGTAACAACCATTCCTCCATTATCAAACCAAAAATACTTATTTGTTTATATTTGGTTGCAACTATCAATTGTTTCATTCTTAATCACATCATCTTGAGTTTGTAGATTATTTGTGGTTAAATTGATTAAAGCATGTAATTACACGTATAGTTGAAGATATTTAATCCTTAGTTTGTAAATCATGTGCTTATATTCTTCAAGGAATAAAATGAAACCTCTAATCTAATTCTTCAATGTCTCTTGTTTCAATTTTATTCATGTTTTTGCCTATATGCCTTTCAGCATCCTATTAACATGAGTTGATCTTGGAGCTGGCAACAGGAATAAAATTTCAATATCAAGTTCAAAGATTCATGTAAAATGGAAAAACTTGAGGAAACTAGGGTAGATAAAATTAATCATGCAATTTTAAGTCCTTAATATTTTTGCTTCCCCATTTCTGCATTATCCAGTAATATATAAGAAAAATCTCAGCTAAACTCTTAGAAATTAAAAATATTTACGAAATCCATCTCCCATTTCTTCTCCTTCTGCTTCGTAGTCAAGCGGTAGTTTAGATGTATGAGATGAGATACTTACCGCAATTCCAGCTCATACTACTTGTAAGAAATGGTTTCTTTTGACCAACGCATTTGTAGTGATAAGCTTTTCCACATTTCCTAGAAAAATAAGATATCCAGAGTGAGGCAAGCAAAAGTTTCCATGTATTACAAATGCTGAAGCTTCATAAACAGAAACAAAAAAGTGCGGCTAAGAGTGGAAGTAATAAAAGGAAGTGAAAGATGACCTTTCAACAGATCTCAGATTATAAAGATAAAAACTTGCAATTAATGCAAAAGCAAGTTGATCTTATGATCTACCTCATTCAATGTCTAGCTTCTTAAGAGGATTTTAAAGTTCTTAGGCATTATAAAATCTCAAAGAATTTTGCAAGACTCATTCACCAGAGAACTCATATCCTCGCCATCTACATATCTGAGAATATGTAGTTGCATATTACCGAAAGTTTTTCAACTGTGTATGCATTTCATTCAAAGTCTAAGAGGCTGTCAAAACATGACACTGACCCTCCTTGTGTTGTCGATGGATAAACACAAATAGCCAAACAGTGCAAAGAGCATTCAAAAAAAGGCCAGGTTTCTAGTAGACAACAACCTTTGCAATATCACCATGATCACCAAAAAGGGGGAAAAAAGGCTATGATGCATCAATAAATTAAAAAAATAAAAGGAAAAGTAAAGGTGATGAAATCAAACTAACAAAGCACAGAAAGAAAAACGAAGAACAAATGAATTTCCAGAGAATCAGCAACCCAAAAAATAGGAAAAAAATGAAGAAGAGAAAAGAAACTCACGGAAAATCACAGTCACGAATCATGCCACCGTCGTGGCAGACAAAGCACCATTCTTCGGACTGGGAACAGCCATTCTCGTTCCTGTTCTCGCTCTCGTTCTCGTTCTCCTCGTCTGATTCAAGTATTATCACGCTTTTAGCCCCTTCCGCCATCTCTATATCAAGTCAACAGCCCAAAAAGGGGGTGAATCGCAATTAAGAAAACGAAAATCATAATCAAACATCCTTTGCTGAATATGGACAAAAAATTTATTACCCAATCCTGTAGTCGTTGCGGAAGAAAGATTTTTGGCCGATTTAGTGTAGAACCAAAAAAAATGGAGAATAAACAGAGAGAGAAGAAGGTGGATGTAGACTGTAGACTGTAGACTTAAGCAGAGAGGCAAGAGTGAAGGAGCAATATAGACTCCAGAGTTGCATGAGTTTGGTCAGCATATAAGGAAAGAGAGAAGAGAGAGAGAGACGAAAAAGAAAAGATAATGATGACGATGAAAGAGGGTGAAAGTTAATGACCGAGGGACATGACCGGGTAAGTGTGATGTGTCACGGAAGCGGAGGCGTTTTCGGCTTTTACGAATTACAGTAATCGCTTTGTCTTCTCCCGGACAAAAGGATGGGTCCATTGGTCAGGTAGTGCGGGAGATCAAGGATTCAAATCTTATTTTTTATAAAATTTATCATAATTTCTTACGATGTTCATTAATTAGTTTCGATAGAGTTTCTATTCATATCAAATCTCTTTTTCCTAAAATAGGCTAATTTAAATTATAGAAATTCTATCGTATTGATAAAAAAAAAAAGACAAAAGAATGAAAAACGATTGAGAGAAACGACGTTCCTAAATAATAAATATTTTAAAATAAATGAATAATGTTGAAATTTAAATTTTGCAAATGAGATAATACAACCCATTATTCTAACCCAACATAATAAATGTGCAAGGGCATTAAGAGCAGACTGTTAGAGTCTCATCCGCTGTTAAATTCAGTATTCGAATCCTATATTTGATAATTGAAGGTGGAAAGAATGTGAAAATAGAAGACGTAAAAATAAATAAAAATATATATATATATATATATATATATATATATATATATATATATATATAATGGCTTACGTGGAGGTGGAAAGGGTGTTATGAGATCAAATAATAATAAAATTAATTAATTAATATGTTAAGGTTTATGTGAACAATATTTGAATATAGCATTTCCGTCGTAAATGCATGTATTCAGTTTGTGGTGAGTTACAATATTTTGAAATTACCTATTCTTATATTCTCTTAGGGTCTGTTTGCCTCATGGGATGACATATGATTGAATCAATCATCTTGTGTCATCTCATGTTTTGTTGTATTTTATACGTGAGATGACACATCCTACCTAACGAAATTAATCATCTATTCATTGCATAAAATAACCTCATGGAGGAAATGGTATTAGTCATCCTGGAATAATTAAAAGATAGGATGATAAAATTTTAAATTAATTTAGTCTTACAAAAATGCAAATTTATACTCTTATAATTATATAACCTATCCCATATGATAATATAATATGAATGAACTAATTTGTCCCTACTAATTCGATTCAAAGAAAAATTTTCTATATTAACTTGAGTTTAGTTCATTTAAAGCTCTTAAATAGGTTAAGTTTTAATTGATTTAACCTACCTTAGTCAAAACTTGGCCTATTATTTAATTGGATTTCAACTTTGGGTTCAAAAACTTGATCAAAATCTATTTTTAAGGGCCCAAATGGGCTGAGTTTGAGTGAATGCAAATTTTATATATCAAAAACCCATGATTTATTTTATAATTCTAAAGCTTCCAACTACTCTATTTTACTAAAAGTTATAAATATTAAATTTTTTATGAAATTATTTTATTAAAAAATATTAAATTATTTTATTAGAAAGAATCTCCAAATTAAGGGGTGTTTTGATCATTAAAATAGTAATCCTACCTTATCCAATTTCCAACCAAATAGATGTTAGATTTATTTTCTAACATATCCTATCCAACCTAGAATCAACCAACTAAATAACTTGAATTATTTATCCAAGAATGACTCAACCTAAGAATAATAATCCGAGAATGAGTCATCATCCGGTCCGTGAACCAAACGTACCCTTATAGGATAGAATAAGTCATAGATATTAATAACTCCCCACCCTCTCCTTCCCTCCCACAGCACCCACCCCCCCTCTTTTTTTTTCATTGTCATATGTATGTTACATCTTTCCCTCTAATCCCTTATACAACTCATTTATTTTTTTTCTTCCCTTCTATTGTAGGATAGTGTATGTGTTAGTGATTGTATAAAATTTTTTTTTCTTATACTATATAAAAAGGAGTTGGTGTTGAAATGCTAACTCTTTTTTTCTTTTGCCACTTTGGGGGTTAAATTGTCTTTTGGTTGGGGTTGTTGATACATTAGTTGCTATTAGTACCAATAATTATTGCTGAGAGCGATGCCAATTTTTTTATGCACTTATTTAGGTATAAAACCTCCAACAAAATAGAACTAAGAAAGAAACATGTTTAGAATCGTGGCAAACTTTTCGTTGAATGGTATTGAGTATTTGTAATAGGAAATTACAGCAATTACCGCACCATGGCTAAATGGTTGACCTTTGTACTTCTTCCATTACTTTGTTGGCCTTCTGTTTCTTTTTCCTTTTTGTGAAATAGAATCCATGAGGATGTTTTTGCATTGGTCCATTCTCTCTAGTATCGAGGTCAGTTGTTTCTTTTCCTTTTGGCTGATTACTTTTTTGTAAATTAAGATTTATTATATTCTATTTGCTGCAAATTTGTGTTGGCTTTATAGGCAAATTTTGAAATCAAGTAAATATATTGTAGTACATAACTGTGAGAATTGGTGCAAAAACTAATAAATTGACAATTTCTAAAAAAATATTTTCTGTTCAAATTTCTCCTTGATTGATGTCATTGAGATTTTTCTTTTTTCAAATATATGATTCTAACCTTAATTTCTTCATTCACATAATTTTTTTGTCAAACATGTTGAAGTCATCTTTCAAAACAGTTTAGATGTGTCCAAGTAGATCTGACGGATGGTTCAATTGATTCACCAAGAAATCAAAGAAAAGGTGAATGAGATCTTTGATTTGTGTTTTGCTGCAGAAGTAATTACTTTTCATCCTCTTAGGTTTTTGCTTCATTTTAAATTTAGTCTATTAGGTTTTCTGCCCAAAAAATTATGGTTGAATTTCAGTTTCTTATGGTTGAAAATTTAGAATGATCATTGTAGGAGCTCAACATTGAGAAGTAGTAATTACTTTTGACCTTTTCTTATTCTTGACTTTGATCTTTCTAAATTTTTGTTTGATTATTTTCTAAATTTAATATGATCGCGAAATCAAACTTGAATGTCTCTATGACTACTTGAAATTTTTAGAGATAATTGTTTCCGATAATTATGATAGGAGTTAAACATGTAGGAGTTATAATTAGTGAAAATGGAGAAGGAAAAGGTATATTGTGCAGTAGAAGCAGGTCATAGATGAACAACTTTATAAACACTGTGCAGCAATTGATAGGTAGATTATTTTTGCATCTCCATATTTATTAAATTGAGAAATTCACTTATTTAGTAGAATTATGCAAGTACAATATTACTAGAATCGATGCTAGAGATTTTTCATTTTCAGATGCATTCATTAATTTCTTCGTGTGTAGTTTTGGATTTGTAAACTATGTCTCATCTTATGCTTGATTGCATAATGCTTCACATAAAGCTTGTAGGACCCGAAAATTCTACCAAAATGTTATAGGACATGTATTTAATAAAATCAGTGTATATAGGGCCACAATTTATAACACATACAAATATGGATGGGAGAAGAGGAATAAATCAATAATATACCAATAATTGAACATAATAACAAGGCTCTCAAATTTCACTCTTCTCAACTGACAACAATAATAAAACTCCCTATTTATAGACTAGATGATTTGGTAAATAAGTCCTACATTCACAAGAAATTCCTAATAAAATACTAATTTCTAAACAATAAATCTACTATAATTTCACTCAAATAGAATTACTAAAATCTTAACTTGACTAAAATAGCTAAATAATAATATAAACAATTTTATTTTTGAGCCTTGATTTAATATGTCAACATTGCCTCCTTTAAATCAATCCTTTCTTGGCATACACATACAAATATATCAATAATATACCAATAATTATACATAATAACAAGGCTCTCAAGTTTCACTCTTCTTAACTGACAACAGTAATAAAACTCTCTATTTATAGACTAAATAACTTAGTAAATAAGTTTAGGGTTCAACTCTTATAGATGACTTGGTTCAACTCAATCAAATGACTTCTTTATAATAATTCTCATGCTGTAACTCTTACAGTGGAAAACAATCAATACTAACCCCGTAGTTGAGACAATTCTTCAATATTCACAGCCAATCCAGAATCAATTTCTTGAACTTAGCATTCTAATACCAGATATAGAACCAAAAACTATAGGAGATAAAATCTAGAACTATATGGGGAGGCAATTTACATACATATATATATATATATATATATATATATGTACGGGAGAAGAGGACTAAATCAACAATATATTAGTAATTACACATAATAACAAGGCTCTCAAATTCCACTCTTCTCAGCTGATAACAATAATAAGATTCTCTACTCATAAGTTAGATGATTTGATAAACAAGTCTTACAATCACATATTTTCTAATAAAATACTAATTCTTAAATAGTAAAACTGTCATAATTTGACTCAAATAGAATTACTAAAATCTTAACTTGACTAAAATATTACTAAATAATAATATAGAACGTTCTACTTTTGAGCCTTGATTTAATATGCCAACAAAAATAACCAAGGTTTTAGTCCCTTGTAATTTTTTTTTTTGTGAACAGGATTGTAGTACGAGCATGAGAGAATTAGTCTTAAAACAAGTAAGATGTTATCAAAATTTGCAGTTTAATTAATGAACATTTTGTTCATTTTTCCTTGTTTAGGTGAACGGACAGCACGTTTTACACTAGATGGTCGGACAATTCAGATTGTGTGCTATTTAATCTGTTGTAGAAACTTCTTAGTATTGTCATGTGGCTTTTGTCACCTGAACAATGGAAGCCTTAATGGTTAATGCTACCTTAGCATTTGAACAGTTAGTCTGTTGTTTTTCAAATTGTATTCTAATCATTTCTAGGCTAATCTTATAATGTGATGATTTCGTTGAAGATTCTTTCACATGAATTTGAAAATGAATTTTATTAAAGAGGAGAAAGAATGCTATCTACCATATAATTCTTGGAGCTCTTCAGTTTTGTATTAATGGATATGTCCTATTACCTTCTAGCACCACATTTGACTTGTTCACTTTGGCTATGTCGATTCACTC